GAGGGTCTCCAGTTTCAATCAATAAAATCCAAACCACCATCTACTCCTGGAAACTCACTAGAGACAAATGGAGGCTGCAAACACTGACTCTATTCTGTTGTATTTTAAAGCCCGTGAAGGAGGAGAAGACGGGCACCGTGAATCATGTGCAACAATAGAGGTGCTGTAAAACCTGATGGAGCTTGCCGTTTCCTGCATCCATTAATCATTATAAAGTATCCCTTTCTTCTGAAAAGGCAACGTAAAACAAATTTAATCTTTAAAAAAAATGGATGCATCTAGTGAGGAATACAGACTTATTACATCAAGTCATCAAACTTGGCCTTGATTTTGTTGGTAATGGAGCTAAGGTCTGACTTCAAAATACCCCCCAGCATTTTCTAATGAAGAACAGAAAGAAAATATCCTTTTGTGTTACATTTTGAAGTCATTTTACCAGAATGGAACTATGAGATAAGAAACAAAAGTAAAAGTTTCCAAGAGATTAAAAAATATAACAGTTCTTCTTTTTGTAATCATTACAAATCCCAATAATAAAACAGATAAAGGTCAAACTCTTGTTGGAAACTATGCGTGCATCTCTGAAAACCACACCGAATTACAGGAATTGTGTCGTTGCTTGCCAAAGCTGTTCAGATATTGAGACCAGGTATTGTTGCAACACACTGAAAAGCATCATGTTACTGCACGGCAACTCGCTGAGCTCAGACAAAATGCTTCCATCTAAGAAGAGTAATGCCTTTACGACATTGGGATTGTTAAAAACTAAAAGAGATCCGTGTCAGCCTTTATTTACAGAACTGAAACTATGACTTTGAATGTGTATTTAGGACTTTCAAAATTCCATTAGTGTTCTCTCCTGCAGGCTCACTGGGTGTGGCACATCCAAGTTTAATCATGCAAGCAATCAGCGACACAAAAGCATACTCAGTAATAATGTGGATGGGCTAAAGGAATACCTTAGCAGCTTGAATCACACACCGAGGCCTCAGAGCACCTTCCCTAAATACATTGCACATATTTTCCCCTGAAAATCAGCTTAAATGAACGTGATATGGTATATCCATCTGGGAAATGATAGTGATATAAGGACAATTTAATTCACCCCTTTAAGTGAATTGGTTTAAGTTTACAGCGAACCTTTTTGCTGTGCGTCTGTTATATTATGGATGTGGCAGCTGAAACCAGAATTGATCATGTCCAAGTCAGCCTTAGATTCTGGCTTTGAGTTACTTTGTATTTATACAAGGAGAAATCCACATGGAAGATATGTGATTAAAATTCAGGGGTGAGCGGCTAAATTTAAAACACTTGTCACTATTCTCATTTTTAAACCTTGGAGAATCTGGTCAAGTCTTATTGGACCAACCCTTTGAAGTAAACAGGTGACTTGAAGCTGGATAACTTGAGATAAAAACATCCTGTCATGTAACGGCATCTTTTGTGAACTGAAATGACTCAATCTCCCCTTGTGCCAGAAAAGACGCAAACCAGCTAATTTTGACTTTGTTTCCAGACATGTTGTTGGTTTATTTTATACAGTGGCTGAGAGGCTTTTATTAAAAGTTCTGACTCAATTCCTGTTCCTCAATTTGGGGGATTTTTTCCTATATTAAGATTAATTTAACACCAATTAATGTATTTGTATTATGTTGAGGAGCTGCCTTGGAAGTTCAGCCATGAAAATCACACACCTGACTTTTATGATAAGAGGGACATTTTAATATCCTGCACCAATGAATATTCCCTGAGAGGAAGTAACAGCAATCAAAACGACAAACCCACAGCATCAAGACACGTGGGCTTTATGGCCAGAGTGTGGAGAGGGCAGAGGGCAGCCATTAACCAACACCGACTGCTGTGTGATTATGGAAAGCCATCAAAACAGATAACCAGAGCAGAGTTGCTCAGCTTTTCCCCTGTCCACAGCAAGGAAAGCCATAGATGCAAATTAGCTGCCATGGCAGCACAGTGCTTGGTTCATGATGTATGAATAAGAAAAATAAGCTCAACAAAAAAAACAACAAATATCTTTTTTTATAATTAACTAACAGGGTGATGTTGACAGAGATAGAAGCACCTACAGAAAAGTCTGCTTGTCTATTTCTCTTGCATTACTATGCTCAAAAGAAAAGTGTTTGGTTCTGGTGCAGCTCAAATGGTCATGATTCATCTGACGCAGATTTGAATTTGTGGCAGATATCCTGAAAGCCTATTCAAAGAGGTTGGGATAGTTTCCCCCAAAATTCCAAAAATAATTCAATTTAATACTGGTCCAAATAGAAAACCTACAGCATCGCTTTTAGGGTACACAAGTCTTCATGTTCTGTTCAATTTGGAGACCACTTCCACATTCAATTCTTTAGGATCTAATGCAGGACATGACTTTGCCTGTGTGCATATCTCAAGGGCTCAACAAATACCTTCTAATCATTTTTGCTACTGACGTGACTAAAAATGGCAATGTGAACCCCCTCATAATTTGATGGATGAATACCCTGCCCCTTTCAGTCACACCGGAATAAGAAGTTGCCAGAAAATACACCACTCAGCATTTTTGGGGATCTGATTCAACTTTATAGTCACAGAAGACTCACAGGCACAAGAAGAGTGGAACAATCTGCTCAAAAAACATGGTAAACAATATGAGCCACAAAGGCAAAAACCCACAAAGAACACTACAAGGTGGCAATCATCTCACCACTTGTGAGGTTCTGAGTATCTTTTAAAGACTTAACTATACAAGGTTCTGAGAAAATATGAACGTAAAACCTGCTTTTATTTCTCACTGACAACAATTGTGACCTCAAAAACTAAAGGGTGAAATCCCTCCTTGTTTGACAGCTGTTATAGAGTACTTTATTAAATGAAAGACATCTAGATGTAAAGTTTTTTTGTGCTTACAGGAACGTTTCACTGATGGATTAGTACATGCTGAAGCAAAATACTACCACATCTGTCTATAACAAAGCCAAAAATTTGATTTATGTATGTAAATGTTAAGGCAAATGCTGAGGAAAACATTGGAGTTTTACTCAGTGCACACTGATCAAAATCCCAACAACAAGCCAAGTGTTTGAATTTAAAGCCAGTTAAAAATATTCTGAAGCAGTGTGTGAATTTGAGATTTCCATCATTTACAGCACGTGTCTGGACGGAACAAGTAAACACCCGTGTAGTCCGTCATCACAAACAGCAAAGCAGTGAGAACAAAGCAGCTGTTCCTGAACCCATGTGGTGGTGATCGAGAGCCGAGGACTGAACCGCAGCGACAAGCCTAACGAGTTCCCCAGGTCCACAGAGCGGCCGCTCGTCCTGTTTTCAGAGACAAAGCCTGGATTCCAGAGCAAATCTCTGCAGCGGTCATGGGTTTGAAAAAGGAGCGCAAGCTCTGACTTAAAGAGGGAAGTCATAGGGGTTACTTGCATGCACCTCCCTGTCGGAGAAACTAATGCAAAACATCTGCTGTCATACCGACATGCTATTCAGCATCTGGCAGAAAAGGAAGCAACGAGTGATGCTGGTGTCTGCAGTTCCAGACATTTGTGATAAAAATCATATTTTTTTGCCGTCTACGTGAGCTGATACTCTCCTTCATCTCTTATTATTGTGCGAAGACTTAAACCACAGGTTTTCCTCCGAGGGGCTTTGGGCAACTTCTTTGTTCAATATTTCCGAATCAAGTTATGTCCCACTGTACTTTTCATTCAGTGACTAACATAGCTGATGCATATTTTCTGTGCCTGACCCTATCATTATAACGGAAAAGCTGAATATAAAATATGATGCTGCAATATTATACTGATTTCTTTTTCTTATTTCTAAGTCTATTTGTTTTTGTAAGTTATAGTTTCAGTTAGAAGCTCTGTTTGCGTGATTGCGTATTAGCCAGTGTTTGTCCCTCCTGTGGCCAACCTGACCTTCAGGTTCAACACAACACCTAAGAATGAAACAGGTTTCAGCTGTACGTGTCACAAACAGGGACCAAGAGCAACATGTTTAACAATTTCTAAAGTTTGAAATGTGCTGTTAAAATGCGAGTTGTCCAGGATTTTTATGCATCTTCATATAAGCCCTGACCACTTAAATTGTGTGTTTGAATCAATCTACAACACCTGAAACTCAACCTCTTACAAAAAACATTGGATTATTGAAATTGTAAAAAAATTGGATATTAGTCTGTTCCACAGCTGTATTTAGATTAAAAGCCAATCCAGGAATTCTCACATAGGACAGAGACCAGTGGAATTGTTGCCAAAACACAATAGTGAGGCCATGGAGCCTCTTTCTCTAGGTGTGCCTGCTTCAGGGATGGAATTCAGCAACCAGGAAAAACCTGTCTGCAGGTAATGCTCCGATACACAACACGCTGTTGGACATACTGTACACACTCCACCTAACATTGCTCCCCAACCAGTTTTTAACACAACATGTGACCGAGGCACATTACCAATGCCTTTTTTAATATAACATTCCATTTCTCTCCTGAGCGTCACTCAGGCAAGTCACATGCAGCAGCTCTGGTCCAGTCTGTTCAAATCCCTATGAGTCCGTACAAAGTGTCAAAAACAAAAACAGGATGAAGGTAGTGATGGAGAAAGGGATAGAAAAGCTGACCCAAACCCCCATATCTAATGGTGGGATAGTAGCAGAAATTAAAATTCGGCTCAAACAGAGGCTGGTTTTGTTTTTTAATCATTTTCCCAAAAGAAGACACCAACCAAATAAGTAAAACAACCCATGGAAACTATGTCATTTTTTTAATGATCTTAAGTTGGATAATGACAAAAATATTAAGAGTCCAAATAAAAATAATGCGAATGATAGTTTCTTTTAGTATTACAATTCATCACTTTTCTTTATGTTTTAGTCTTTTATATGGCCTTTTTTTAACTGTGAAAAAAGCTACACTGGCTCTGCTGAAACGGAGCTGTCTATAATGACTAACTAAGACAAACAAGTGGGGCCATAATAAATCATCCAGGGTTAATATCACTCACCATCCTCTGCCTTCACTACAGTCGCAGTAGTCTGAATATTCCCACGATCCAGTATTTGTTGGAACCTAAATCAAGTTCGCGCTGCTTCTCGCCCCTAAAACGTCCACTTGTTGAATTTGAAAAACAAAAGTCTCAATCCAAATTTAAAGATTATATCCCCGTCTAGTCCCGGACAGCATGGATGCTTGTCTTCAGCGGTGTTCTCCGTCCATTCTGAAGTTGGAAATGTGTCCGACACTGACAGACTGGGGCAGAGCTCTAACAGCGAGCTGGGAGAGGAGCACTGCTCTCAAACATCAGCTCTGAAACATAACACAGGAAACGGAGCCACTCCGTCCAATCAAAGGCCGCTGACTTCAGAAATTCTTAAATATTCATTAGATTCTGGGACCGAAGAAACTGGGCATGCGCACAACTTCGGCACATTCTCACAACGCCGTCGACACACGATATAAATTAAAGTATCCTGGGGTTTGCATCTTCGAGTTCAAGGTGCAATATTTAATTGGTATCACATTGGTTATCGGAGGTTGCCAAATAAATATGATAACAACTCAAACTGATTACATTTTCTATTGACAATAAAGGGCCAGGTCATGTTGGGACATACCTTTTTCTAAACATTTCCAATTGTACAATGACCTTTTACAGGTTATGTTCTCAAATTCATTTAAATCTGCAAATCTACTGATTACTAAATAAATTAATTGGATATGATAAAGTATCCGAGCTAGGAAATAAACAGGTATACCCATGGTTCTTTCTGGTAATGATAGATCTGAGCAAAAACATTTTAAATCAAATGTTATTCCGAAAGAACTGTGGAATGTTCTTACACAAGCAGTGGATTTTTGAGTTATAATTGTTGTTTGTTCTGTAGCTCTTACAGCAGTGGTCAGTTACAGGTTCTCAGCAGAAATCCAGACAATCTTGGTTTTTCAGGCAAATGAATATGCACCTAAAGGCACTTCAGGAAGTCCCTTTGATGTTTTTAGGTGGTACCAGTATCCACTTTCTGCAAGCAGTCTTCAGTGTCTGGGCCTAACCCAGCTATTAGGCTCCTCTCTATGCAGATGTGTGGTATGGGTGTGTTTTCAAGTGTGTATGTCGAAATCAAATCAAAGTCTTACTTGCACGAGCAATCAAAACAGTTAGTATTTCCTCTCAGTATCTATTATCTGTTTTCCAAGGACATCGGACAGCTGACTAAAAAAGTCAGATGTGGTTACTGACCACATTTGTTATCAGAAGAAAGTGACAGACTATTGAAGGTGCTGTTTGAAAGTACTATGTTCTGTTGCCACCCTGTGGACAGCGTCAGAAATTGCATGAAAGTAATTTAACTGCAATGCAACACACAAGTATTGCTGAATTGTCATGATCTATTTAATCGATGGTGTCAAAGATTTTTTTTGTCTTGATTTTTTGTTCCATCAAGAGCTAAATGAATTGTCCCTCTTTCCGTCAAGGGCCCTTCATTGCATGTGTCCTGTCACCCACATTCTACTGGTGAGGTGAGGATCAAGTTGCTGACTGTAAACATGGCTTATATTTGATCCAAAACTGTTTTGCTTAAGTCTGTTCGCACCCTTAGAATTTCTCCGAGTCAGCTGGTGTGTTGATGAAAAATACTGCACAAGATATAGATTAAAAGATAGTAAAAAATCTTGCATCCATACAGGTATACAGTGCATGGCCTATTTTTTTTTTTTTTACTATTTACTTTATAGCAAGAACTACTGTATTTTTTGAAGTTCAAAACAATAACATTTGTTTAAATCAAATCCAAACTTTTTACCTGCTTCACTGATTAAAAATATTGGACGAAACACAAATCCATCAGTTTGGCCAATGAACATTTGAGGCCCTCAGTCGCAGTGTTCTTCACGTAAAGTATCACGTGTACATCTGAAATCATCCCTTCTAATTAAAAATGAATTAATTTAAATAAAATGAATTAAACAATTTCATTAGCAAGTTTTAGGCAGCTGTTTGACTGAGCTGCTGTAGTTAACCAGTGAAATGAATGTAAAGCTGCCACGAATATTTTATTTACACACTTTGTAATAAATGAAGTGGTGCTATGAAAAAATGTGAGAACAACTAGGTCGCAAGGTTCTTAACCAAGGTAGTGATTAGTGTATGATGGGAGTTGTAGTCCATGGTTGGCGTACTTGATGAATGATAACACATTAACGATAGATTATCTTTTAAATTAAATGAGACGTTAATTTGTGTTTTCATTCACGTACAGTTGTAGATGCACATTTAACCACTAAAAAGATAAATGTACCCCACGTTTCGTGTCAGCCTGAATACTAAAGTGTCGGTAGAGAGACGAGCAGTGGAGTCCGGAAGTAGGGCGGGACCTCGGCTCTGTATAAACATGGCCGTTAAGTCCTTTGCACCGTCAGGTACTGCGTTGGCTGAATTAGGTGGACTTTGAGGAAGTCATTGAGGGTAACTAATGCCGTAACAGGTGTAAAGAAAATGTAGACCTCGAGCCGATAACTCTACTCTTTTTACAGTTTTTTTCACCCCGTGGAAACAATATTTCTCAACTTCATTTAGTACTTTATGCTAGCTAGCTAACCGAGCTAACGCAGACGTCCCAACGTTAACTTGTCAACTTTTTTTTCAGCCACCGAGATACTGAATGCTTATCGAAATGGAGGAGTGTCGTCGTTCGTCAGTAGTGTGTCGATGAATGTTTACCACACGGACGTCTTGGATTAACCCAGCTAATAAGTGACTAAAACTTTCTTAAGGGCTTGCTTTTGGATTTTCTCCCATTGGCAGCAGTGAAGCGCTTACTGGGAGCCTGTTTACTGTATTAAAATCAGTCACTAGACGGACATAAACAATGTTTTCTCCCAAACCCATGAAACCAACTTTCAAGTCATATCTTCCTTCTGCGCAGGTATGTTTGTATGTGTTTATCATTTATAACAGGGAATGTAGTTCACGATACGAGATGTTTACAGAGTTTTTAAAACATTAACATGAGACTTTTGCTGTTTTAAGAGTTGTCAGTGGTGGCAGGTGGGCTGCAGAAAATCTAGGCTTATAGACAATTTAAGTCCAAACTTGTCTATACCTATACATTCTGTTTAACTGTAAGAGCATGTGTATACCTCGGATGTCACATTTCCATTCCGCCTCTGCATTTATTTGACAACTTTGACAACATAACAGGCAAATTATTACATATTACATTTCTTCATTATTTCAAATCAACGGTTTGTTAATTTCAACACATTCCAACTAAAAGGAAAATAGAGTGAGCACTGAACAAGATGGATGTATACTAGCCTGATAATAATTTTATAACCCCTCAAATTTATTGGGCACTTTTGTATGTAAAACTTTATCAAAGGAAGCTCAACTCACAGTGACAATAAAACTAGTATTTTAGTATTTATAATCAATTAATAAAGTTTGATATTTATATTTCATGTTCCAGCTATTTTGTTACTTTACTTGAGTATGTCTTTTAATGTATTGCACTTTACTTGCAGTCATGTGCTGTTGTAATACCTGTTTTAGCACTTATTAAGAAGTTTCTATTTATTTCGGGACCATTTGGAAAAAAATAAAAACTCAAAATGCATTAATTCCTGTGTCATTACGGACCCCTATTTGCCCCATTTAGGCTACAAATGTGTACAAGTGTTCTCCAGACAGACACTGAAAGGGTTTGTTGACAGACACTGGTGGAGCAACCCAAATAAAACCACTGTTTGTCTGGTCTGGCATTAGGCTTCTACTGAGGAGCGTTTTTGTATCTTCACCACATGCTTTTGCATTTAGTTCATACAGATTTGAATCGACGTTATTTCATCATGGATATATCTTGCAGATTTAAAAAAAAAAGGGGGAAAGATGATACTTTGTATTTGTCCCAAAAACTGAAAAGTCAAGAATTACTGAAGGGCAACTTTCAGTGAATCACTTTAGATGTAAAAATTGAAGGATTGGATAGCAGTTTGCCTGATTTGATGGATTTTCAGTGTTTGAGGGATGCTGGGTGATGAAGGCTAATTGTGTAAAGTGTTATATTTCTCAATGCATGCTGTGTTTTATATTGTTTACTGTTGTATTCGGGGAGTTTGTGAGATGGCAACAGCTAAATCTCAGGTGTTTTGTATTTGCCAATCCTGTTACAGGAATGTTCTTTTAAAAATCTTATTTTCCCAACAAAACCAGTTAAGATTACTATGCTTTGAACACAAGAACACTTTTACCAGTTAATGCCTTACCCCCTCGTACTTTGTAAAGGCATTTTTATTACTTTTACTGAGTAACTATGTGAAGAGTCAGCATACAACCAGCTGATGTTTCATGTGCTTTTTTTTTTTTAAACTCCTAGACTGATGTGACCCAAACTATTGACACACCAATTAAAAAGTTGGAGCCCAAGTTACTTCCAGGTGAGTTTTTGTTTTCCTCTATTATCTTAAAATTTGGTATCATGTTAAACCAAACTAGAAAGTATCTGTTCCAAGGTACGCGGAACACGTTTCGCTTATTGACATTTTAAAGTCATTACGAAAGGATAAAAGACACATTTTCATCTTTCCTGAATATTAGCTGTGTTACAGACATTTGCTAGTCTCGGATAACAAATGTACTTGTCTTTAAATGGAGTTTCAGCCAAAGTCCAGACCTTCATAATTGTTCAGTGAAACAATTTATCTGAAATTGAAATGGTGACTTAAATCAGAAAAGCATTCCACTGTATAGCAATTGTCTTTCAACATAAATGATATTGTTACTTGGGGGACAGATGTATTGCTTCATCTTAAGTTTACATTTTTTAAAGGGACCATTTTGAATAAGGCACACTTCCTTTGGGTTTGGGATGTAGCTATCATAAACATCTCAAGGCACCTGGTTCAGTTAAGATTCATCTATGGAAAGGCAACAATAAACAGAGCATAATGTTGTTACTTATTTTCTTAATATTTGCAAAGATGTAAATGTTTCAAAGATCAACACAGGTATAAATTATTTCCCTTTTTAATCCAAACAAGGCTGTTCATATTTTGCCTTCCTATGATTATGCTGTACTTCATTTTTAAAAGAGCTCTTAGGGATTTGTGACATTGTGTGTTTCTGAAGTGTTTCTCTTGTTGTTGGATCTATTATTCCTCACTGAGACTACCTAAAACAAATTTTCATTGAAGGGGAACCACTACTTTTACGAGCACACATACACATAGTCATGTTAGGGTTGTTGCTTCTTTGTTATTCTGATTTGTGAGGCAGCCTGACAAACAGGTTTCATGATTAGCTTCCTCTTTTGTAGCTGTCAAGCCTTATTTGGCTGCTGTGCGGAAAAGCTTTGAAGTTGCTTTCTCCAGGACTCCACCCTGACATCTCATTCTCTTCGTTTTGAAAATAGCAGGGCATTTTATTACAGCGGGATTCTTGTCTACACCTGAAACGTTTCGTTATCACGTGAAGGAGCAAGGGTGATGTTAATCACCAAAGATAGTATATTGAAAGCCGCCTGTGAAGGCTACAACTAAAGTAGATACTATGATATGACCTACTTGTGTCAGAAGTGGAGAATTACTGTACCAGGTCCACTTACAGACATTTGGATAGTGTGCAAGTCTGAAGCACCTTTTCACGACCACAACATTTTGAATTGAAGGCAGAATGTAGAAGTGATCTGAATTCACATGTTATACTGCCTGAAGAAAATGCTCTTTGCCTGTGGCATGATATAGTTGTCTAACATTGTTAACAGGCCTGTCCAGTACAGGGAAATTACATCTTGAAGACTTGTTGAAATGTAACTCTGCCAAGCTATTTTAATTTTAATAGAAAAATGCACATTGTCATATATTGTGGCAAACCTGTCATTCGACCTGTTCCAGCAGCTTTCCAAATACCATATATTTTTTATCTGTTGGAACCTTGAATTGACCAATTAAAACCATCTATCAGATGTGGGGAGGTTTGATGTAATGAGACTGCAAAGAGGTCTGCCATTAAGTTCTGTCCCTCAACACTTGGTTGCTCCTATGCACAGTAGTCATATCCAGTTAGGCAAAGAGGCATGCTGGTCTGTGTCTGTACAAAATGAATCAAAAGATTAAACTCCTATTTGTTAAATTTTCCTCCTGAGGCTATTATTGTTACGGTGGTTTCTTTGAATGACTGTTTTTCTACTCATATTTTCTTATCTGGTGTCACCAGGGGAGATCGTAGTTAATGAAGCGAACTTTGTAAGGAAATGCATCAGCGCTGAAAGCAGCCAGGATGATCTGTGGGGGAAGTTGATATGCACCAACTTTAAGGTCTCCTTCATTCCTCAAGATGCCCCACTTAAACAGGTATTTGTATCGATTTCTTTGTTGTTGTCAGATTACAGTAGAAACATATTTAATGTTGTCCTGACAGAATAGTATATATTTTATTAAAATACCAAATCATTCCTACTATTTTGTTTATTAGAATGCCCACAGTGGGACTACCAAACAGTTTTTAATAAGGTTTAAATTTTAGAACTTGAATCGTAGCCTTAGTAGTGAGTAATTTATGTCCACACAGCATTCACAAAGCCTTGTTTGTCCAGAGTGCATCTGGCAAAGAGGAAGGAAAACCTACTTGTCAGTGATATCGCACAAGAAGTGAGAGAACAGACATCATTTCCACCAGTGCTGTTGATTGTTGGCATGATAGCGAAGTGGAACATGTTCGTTGCTCAGTCTGAGCAGCTTTACACACTATAGCTACCAGAACTTGATACAAGCTGTTTTTGAGGTATTGAAATAATACATTGTCTATGAGATGGTAAAATGCTTATTCTCCTTCACTGCAGAAATCCCAGTTGCCCCACCTGCTGCTTGGGGAGCATGACATCCCCCTGACCTGTCTGGATCAAGTTGTAACAGGTACTCCTGATATCAGTGTTTATAGCTTAGTTTATATTTTTATAGACTTTTAAAAATGTTTCCCCCTGGTTTCTTATCATTGTAACACATGTACATCAATGTGTGAAAAGCATGTTTCCAGAGCAAATTTATTGATTGATTTTATTATATTTCAGTTTGCTAAAATTTTTATAAAGCTGTGTTCCATGGTTTGATATCAATTGATATAAAAAATCTGCAATCAGAATGAACCATCGGTCCAGTATTCCCCTCATTAATCTTTGACAGCTTTGGTGACTGGTGTGGATTGCTGTTTTAGCCTGACTGCACTCGAATAACACACGATGTCATGGTGAAGGCAGCCCGGCCTGGCTCAGTTATCTTTTTGTATGTCATCGATGCCGACTGCTGACACTGCAAAGGCAACCAACCGGAGCCAAGTTTGTTGTGTTCCTGTGATGAAGCATGAGGTTTTGTTTTAGCTTGTTTTCGATCCATTTGAACCGGGTTGCAGCAACAACAGTGTAGGATTTGCATCACAAGAGTTGCATCAAAGAATAAAGATTGCAATGAAAAACATCACAATGCCTTACATTTTCCACACAAGCATGGTATCCACAGTCACGCGCGTTGCAGTAATAGTTTCCCTCCTCATTCTGCAGCAGCACTTAGATCACAGCATCATAAGCAGCTTCCTGAGAGAGTCTGCAGGTTCAGTTCTCTTTCTGCTACTGCTTCCTTTGTGCCTTCCATTTTCTGTTAGGTTTTGTCATGTATGAACTCTGGTTCAAATAAATACTCTAACCAACAATCAAATTATCTTTTTTTTTGCCACCATCACGTCTAACTTTGTAGTTTCCGTAAAGCGACTCTCAGATTAAAGAAATGAATATGTGCCTGCAGAGAAATTGGAAATAATGAACAAAGAGAATACAGTTAGATACACAGCTATGATCTGATACCAGTCAGACAACAAAACAAAGAAAAATAGTATTTTGTAATTTTGTGCATCACTCTTACTTTGATGCTGACCAAAGCGCTTTGGGATGTCCACCACTCTAATGAATTATTCTCATTTTGTCTTTGTTCCTCTCAGTTAATGATACAAAGGGAAAGAAGAAGGTTTTGGGCCTAAACCAGAAACTAAAGTTCAACCCAACTGAGCTCATCCTATACTGCAAAGATCTGCGTATTGTAAGGTTCTGCTTTGATGAAGCTGGGCCCGAAAGTGCTAAAAAGGTGAGATGACAGAAACATTTACCATTTTGTTTTGAAACCAGATGAAATACCAGGACTACTTTTATTCAAAAACTGCTAGCTTAGTGTGAGTATAATCAGGAAGTTAATGCTCAGGTTTGCTTTGCTTTTGCTTGAGAATGTTGAAAGGGTTTCATTTATTACATAAAGTGTACCATTAATCTCACTATTTGGAGGATATAAACACCAGTAAGGGTCCAGCTTTGAAGAATTTAATCTATTTTGGGCTGTAAGCCATATACTTGTTCATTGTAATTAATAATGCAGTAGTTGAACATTCATAAAAATCAAGACCTTTTGTTTTTAGAAAAAACTCCAAACCTTAACATTGGCCTCACTTGATATAACCTTTTAATGATTGGATTGTGATGACTTTCCTCTTGACTGCAGCATGTGAACTCTCTCCATACGCACATCACTTTGACTGCTCTGACTGCTAGTTTTGTGACACATATTCCTATCATCAACATTTTTATGTGCAGCTGTGTCACCTTCCATGTGAAAAGAAACGGGCGATTTCTCAGGAAGCATGTTCATTAGCCAATAACAAAGGGACATGGAGAACAATGCCCATTCATGGTGAAGGAAGCAGAATTTGATCCTGACTGTTGGAACAACTGGCAGACTTGGGACTCATCTGCTCCATAGTGATTGGACAAGCAGATGTTTTTTTTTCTGATACCAGTGTTTGGTTTAGGGGGCTCTGCACAGGCCACTGTCTTGTATTTTATGGTTGCTATACATAATAATTCAGCGTTTCTTTAAAAGGAGAAATGGCAATAGTAAGAAGCACTAAAGGAAATGAAAGTTAATTATGTTTAAGTTCATTCAATTCTGAAGAATTCAGATGGTTGTCTTCATACTCCTCTTATGTCAACTGGGAGCAGATCTCAAGTTGGTTGTGAAACATTTGAAGCTCCAAACGTACTTATTAGCCACATTTGTCAAAGTGGCTCTGACTGTTTTGGACACGAAACATGTGTCCATGTGCAGAGTGGAAGTGGAATTAAACAAAGTTATTCATACTTCGTTTGGTGTACTTTACAACATAATATAACACAATGTGTTGTTCTTATGTATAGGACACTAAAATAGAATGCATCGAACCTCCTTAGCTCTTAGTTTATTCATGGATGCCATGTATGTAATTATAGTGTGAACCTAAATCTGGGTTCAGCCTTTTTCTTTCTCTCTTTGACTTACAGAATTTCAATAGCTCATGTTGCCATAGGAAATTACAGAGTTGGGAGCTGCCTTTTCTACACTCACTCACACTTTGTGTCCTCTGGTGATATTCACAGCTTTAACTCTGAATAGACTGCTTTGTTATACTCCAGCGGAGCCACAGAGATTCAGTCCTGTAAAACCAGAGGACTAGGCTGTCCGTCAGTTTTTCTGTTCTAGGTTTCACTTGTGCCTGCTTTGGTATGATGAAACCACACGCCTCTGCGTTTATTTTAGCAAAGAGTGAACATTGCCGCTGGAGTTGGGTGGCTCAGATTAAATAAGGGCCATTACACTGGTTTCACTATTTCATTCTACTATTGATGGATTGTACTGTATGTCTGTTAGAAATACTTTTCTTTGTTTTATGGCAGGTTTGCCTTGCTATTGCCCACTACTCCCATCCAGCTGATCTCCAATTATTATTTGGTTTCGAGTATCAAGGACGCCGATACCATGAATCTAAAGGTAGCTGCAAAATATAGTGTATCTTTTTTTGTTGTTTACATGTGACAACATTCTATTTGAAACTTTTATATGATCTGTATTTAAAAAAATGTTAAGTCTAATTTATTTCTCAGTTTCTGTGTAAAAAAACTGTTGGAGCTATTTATTCTTTTTCTTTATGCATTTGAATTTTTGTTAGTTAATTCTTAAATGTATATTTTTTGTATTAATTTACAGTATTTATTTTGCAGGTTAATAATTGTTGATTCTATTTAATTTCTTGTCTTATTATTTTTCTTATTCATTATTTGAGTAAAGCAGGAAATGGGTCATGTGGGTCAGTCCACTTGCCTATAAATATAGGGGCCTGGTAAAGGACCAGCAGGCATATGGGTCGGGGCCTATGGTTTTACCAGGACAAGAGAACAGGACAAGAGAACAGGACAAGAGAACAGGACAA